ATCTACAAGCAAAAAAGAGAAAAAATATGTTTTTAACTACAGGTGTTACAACAAACAAGTGGCCAAATGCTCAAATGGAGAAAAGGTAAAGACATGAAGGACCACATGGAGATTCCAGTCAGGCAGAAGAATGGTGGAAACTGATAGGCCATTGTCAAATAGACATGTAAAGGAATCTGAAAGGTGCAGAACAGTGGGGTGAGAAACCATGTTGCAGAGACCAATTCCAGAAAATGCCCCAATTTAAGGAAGAAGGATGGACCAAATGGGGACAGAAGAGAGGCTACTTATGTAGAGATTCTGGATTGCCTTGCAAGGGACAGGACAATATCCCCGTGTGAAGTAGTATGTGGTGATTGTGGAATGAAATATGACACACTGAGGTTGATGGAGAAAGAATAGGCAAAGTGGAAGAGGTAAGGGAGGGGACAATTAAAGGAGGGTCAGGATTGGCCAGAATTTGGAGATGAGAAGGATTTGACTTCGAGTGGTTTGAATCAAGGAAAGAACAAGAGGGAGAAGGCAAATAAGATCATAGACATAAAGGTAAATATTGGTCCAATTCTGACTGAGAACATTTATTGCCAAAGTTAAAGGATGTGGAACCAGAGACCGAAAGAGAGGCAGTTTGGAATTGAGATAGGTGGCAAATGGATCCAGCAGAGAAGTACCAAACCAGGAGCATAACCACCAAAAATCTTGGAGAAAAAGAGGCCACTTTACAGATAGAATATTGTTTGGACAAGATAACCAACAAGATTCAGAGCACTCATAATGTGACAAGCAAGAAGGCGGACTTACTGAGACTATGTCCAAAAAAGGAGATCCAATGCTCGAAAGCAAAGCGAATATGAACAGATGCCTCCTTGTTGATGAATGTAAGAGACAATGATCAAATTGTTAGAATGGAACATGAACAAATGGCTCCTTACCAAAGGTAAATAATGAACCAAGGCTTGACAAATTGCAAAAATTTCCAATAAGTTGATGTGGAGGGAAGATTCAACCTCCTGAGAACCCATGTATGCTCTCCATCCTGTAAGAGATGCATCCATGAACAAGTGCAAATCTGGATGGTGAGAAGCCAAATGAATGCCAGCCAAGGTGTTGTCTCTGTTGAGCCACCATGCAAAGTCTACTTGGAGGGAAGGAGAAGGATGGAATCCAAAGGATTCCAAATGAGAGTTCATTGATCATGCCATGCGAACTGAAGCCCACACATGTGTGCATGACCCCAGAATATAAGGGCTTTGATGGATGCTCAGGTCCCAAAAAAGAGATAGAATCTTGCATGCCTCCTTGTTGATGAATGTAAGAGACAATGATCAAATTGTTAGAATGGAACATGAACAAATGGCTCCTTACCAAAGGTAAATAATGAACCAAGGCTTGACAAATTGCAAAAATTTCCAATAAGTTGATGTGGAGGGAAGATTCAACCTCCTGAGAACCCATGTATGCTCTCCATCCTGTAAGAGATGCATCCATGAACAAGTGCAAATCTGGATGGTGAGAAGCCAAATGAATGCCAGCCAAGGTGTTGTCTCTGTTGAGCCACCATGCAAAGTCTACTTGGAGGGAAGGAGAAGGATGGAATCCAAAGGATTCCAAATGAGAGTTCATTGATCATGCCATGCGAACTGAAGCCCACACATGTGTGCATGACCCCAGAATATAAGGGCTTTGATGGATGCTCAGGTCCCAAAAAAGAGATAGAATCTTGCATGCAGGGAGAGAAGGTGAAGACTTACTTTGCAAACCAAGAGCTCCTTTGACCTCAAACGAAGAGAAGAACACTGGGCCCTTCTGAGGAAGGTGTTGAAAAACACTACCAGAGGGAAGAAAATGTGATGAATGGATAAAGGATGTGGGAGTATTAAAGGAAAGTCCTTCTGAAAGAGCCTGATGTATGGACACCACAGATGAACAAACCTGGCCAACCGTGCATCTATCATGCCATTCTTGAATCAAAGACTCTAAGAGTCTGCGAGTCCAAATAAGGAAAATCTGACCTATTATAAGCTAAAGCATAGTAGTTTGATAAACACAGAGGATGAGGCATGCTGCCACCTGAACATAATTGGGCGACAAACTGATCAGCATGAACTTGAATATCAAGATAGGGGAACATTAAATAATCTGATGAAGGTGCAGAAGGAGGAGGAAGATTCAAAAGACACTGGGGAAACTGATAAAAGGTAACATACATGGGAAATAATTCCCAAAAAAGCTGGTGAAGAAAAAGTGGTAAATCCAAGGGTGTGGCAGGGAATTGCACTCCAAAGGATAAAGATGTGAATAGGTTGTCCAAATCTTTGTTGTCCTGGCCCGATTCATCCAGGAAGAGAATATTAGGCTGTGTTTCTTGATACATACCAGGCCACATGATAGATTCCAATTCACAACATACCATGTCCGAGGCCTCCTCAGCAAAAAGTGTAGATCCTGAAGCCACAGAAGTAGTAGATGGATTTGCAGTTGAATGATTTACGACTGAAATTGTTGTAGAGACATTAAATTGAGAGTTCTAAATGTGAAAATGAAATAGAAAATATTCCACAAAACAACTGAGTAGCAGAAAAACTGATAACAAACTAAGTTGTCCATCACAATAAAGTTAACTGAAAATTGCACATGAAAATGAAGAAAATTGCACAGCAAAATTATAGCATAATTGCACACTAGAATGCCAAATCAAGAAGTGATGAAAATACTCCACAGTATAGAGGGAGTCATCTGCACTAGAATGGTGCGTCTTACTCATCTTGGTGGAGGGATGTGACATGCTTATTTGCATGCTACAGTGCAGCTATACAATGTGTAAACACAAGGGTAGGTGAGAGTATCAAGGCTAGTGGCAAACGAAAATTGCACATATAGAGGGCAGCACATGTTGAGAAAATCTATTATGTGAGTGGAGATAAGGTATTATATTGGAATTTTGATTGTTGTACAATATAACTGAAAATCTCACACTGTAATAATTGTATGCATTTAAAAAAATAACAGAAAGAATTTTATTTGAAATAGTAAGAGCATTCACTCCAGGTGTTTGCTGCATTTATGCGTGTTTACCTATGTGATAATTCTTTTATCACCTCATATGTGAATACACAATGTCATAAATACTTAGTTTTAACAAAGTTACATCTACTTGTAGAGATAACAAAACAATTGTGATCATGGTTCATAGCCTATATTATAATGTTTTTCTAATGTGATTATTAGATTTATTAACTTTTTCGACATGGCCTCGGTTCCTGGAACTGACTTCATAACCATATCCTAGTTATAGTTTACATACTAATAACTTTAAATATTTTTTTAAGTGTATCTTTACAAAATTTTGTAGTTTTATAGTAAACATTAGAAGCCTTTTGCACAAAAAAAAAATCAGAGTTTTTAATAAAGTATTTTTACTTAAATTTGTTCATGAAAATATCAATTCTTTTTTTTAACTAGTCCGAGTGCAAAGTGATTTTCATGCCAAAATTAAAAATACTTTTCATCATCTAAAAAATATCAAAATTCCTTTGTGTAATCCCTAAAACCTCCTAAATGCATTTCAAACTTTTTTTTCTCACTAAATCCTTATAGTTTATATGTTATTTTCTCTACCCTAATCTCAAAACAGGATCAGTCAATTCAACCAATCTCATAACCACCAAAAATAAATCGAAATAAACCTAAATTAGCCTTCTTTTCTTTCAAGTATGACTTCAAATTGTAACTTGAAACTACATTTGTTTATCCTAAGTAGCTCTTAAGTAACATCATACATCTACTTATAATTAAATGTTGTTGTTTTATTGCCCTATGAACCATGTTTAACTGGTATCCCTGCCATTATAAGTTGTAAATCATGCAGCTCAAGTTACGCTATCGAATTACATTACATTGTATCGAATTACACGAGCTGCTCGCATGCGTTCTTTGTGAACAATTTTAATTATATTATTACTTATTTTACCTATTCTAGTCTTAAATAACTTAAAAAGATCTGTACTTTTAATTTTAGTTACTTGTATAATAATAAATATGAAAAACAAGAAATAAAGTACTTACTTTTTTTCTTACCCTCAACTGTTGATGAGAGTTAAGCCTGATTTTTTTTTAGTGATTATAGTAAAGCACTTAATTTTTATTTAATTAAATAACACACCAAAGAATACAGACTAATAACATGCAAAAAGTAGACAAATTAACTAACTTTAAAAAATTTTCCTGGCTTTCTAACTATGCGACAAGAGCAGTTACAAATTCATCCAAGCTAGTTGTTAACTTTCCCACAGTAACGATGTTGCTACTGAGAGTGACATTGACGGTTATCTGTTCAGAACACAATGTTATACAATACGCCATCTGATATATGAAAACCTTGACTTTCTATTGGTTATAAATAGTATATAACGAAATGTAAGAGAGAACTATCAACCAATTGTGAAAGAGAGAAAGTGACAGGTGGGTGTAGCAGGAGGGGTCTAATTTTATATTGGATAGCTCTGAAACCAAACAAAATTGAAGGCCATAAAAATTATGGTCTGTTTGAGCATTAATAATTTTATAGAGAGCATTTTACGTTTAATTTTGTACATATTCGAGAGGTGATGGATAAAATAGGGATATTCTAAGACAAAATTTGTCATGCATGTTACACTAGTGAAAATTCAGGATTTTTTTTATATATTTCCTTTTAGAATTAAGAACTTAAAACTTGTATAATATGGATTATTAGATCTTATGCTATTCTAATTGGTATAACAAACAAAAAGTAGTTTTGAAAATCTCACAATAATTGTTACATTATAGTTCCAACACTTCTAATGTGTTCTACAAAAAGATAAGAAAGAAATGCTTATAATTACATAAAAAATGCTAAATATATTTAAGCATATGTGTTTTAACCAAAAGACAATTATTCTTTGCCAATTATTACTACTCTATTCAGTGAAATTTAAATGACAGAGGAAAAAGGAAGTCAAGTAGGAATTACTACATACGAATGACACATGTTGTTTTGTTAAAACCAATCTCTTCTTGGTAGTTTGTATCACACTTGCATGCAGAGGATAAGATATTGGACTCATAGGTCAGAGTACATGTAGACAATGGGTCCCATTTCTTACACTGTTCTGGTGATTCACACACATCATGGAGCCTGGCTACTGTAATAGATAATGAATTACAGTACAATACACAATGAGCACTTTTTATATAAAACTTCTAATTACAAGAGTAAAATGCTTATACATATGGTAAAGGCTTCTTTAAAATCCCATTCCACGAGAACTTCATTTCAAAACCCTTTTACTGTGTGTATGTGTGTGTGTATATATATATATATAATACACCTATATATCTATATATACATGTGTACAAACACATGCATACATATTTCTTTTAAGGACAAAAATATATCTAAATATATAATATAAATTAAATACTTGTTATAATGTTCACATTACTGCAGCTAAAATTACTAGAACTAACACAAATGTTTGATGAAGTAAGTGTAGCTTGTGCAATTCCTATTTATCAAACATAAAAAAAAAAAGACTTATAGATGGTTTATTAACTTTTGCATTCAATAATAACGTACTCAATCCATGCCCCTGGTTGAAATTAACTACGTGCAGAACCTAATAAATTTGGCACCCATTTTTACATGTAAGCAAACATTAAATTATTTTATGAAATTAAATGTTATTAAATTACAACAATGGGACTGCTATTTCCATATTAAAAACAAAACAACTGTCAATATTAATACCTTCTACTCCCTAGACACAATCAAATGTTACTGGAAGAGAATAAAAATGGATACAGGAAATTAAAGTTTGAATGTGTGTCCATTTATAACTGGTGAACAGTTGGAACTACACGCATTGTCACCAAATCTGGCATGTACCCTCTGGGCTCCTTATATAGTAACAAGAGAGGATAGTTAAGCATATGGATATGACCTCCCAATGTCTTCTCCATGCATTGAATGGGAATGTGAGCTACTAAAGCAATAAAATGTGACATAAATGTGGTTTCAATTACATGCAGATATCTTTGAACATATCTGCCAACAACCACAATGGTTGTTCATCATAATTGAGTATGATGGCCAAATATTTCCATTACCAGTTATTTTGCCTCATTTCAGCAACTATCTGCCTTAAGATAGCTATATAGTCTTAGTTTTACTTGGAACTTTCTTTCACACTCTAGGTTCTGCGAGTCATCAGGAGGTTGTGACTAATTATTGTAAAGTTTTCTTAAGTCTTTTTTATCTTTAGCCTCTAAAATTTGCCTTGATTCACAGAGTAAAAGCTTTTTAGCAGTCTGCTATAAAGCATTCACACAACATGCCCAAAACCATAACGCATGAAACACACCACAATGATAGCAATATGCATAGCATGAATTGAAAAAATGACATGGCCTTATTTGGAATGCCCCTCTATGAAGCATGAAATTGATTGTCTGTTTGTTAGTTGTAAGGCACAAAGCTGCACAATGAGCTATCTTTGCTCTACCAACCACATGTGTGTAAACCTAATTTTTTGTGTTATAAAGTGACTTTCCTACTGTTGATCTACCAAGGGGTGGCACAAACTGATACTTGCAGAGAATATTACGCATATGAGAATGTTAGTTTGTGGCAACTTTCAACTGCAAAATGTGTGGTAGTAGTAAAGCATATGAAGGTAGATGTACAACACTAAATGTATTCACATTTGAAGGAGAGGGAAGTGCACTGCTTTATCTATAAAAGGTTCAGTATACAAGAGACGGAGATCAGTACTGTTTCTATTAGTAGTTATGCCCAGAAAGGGGTAGTTACACATTTTTCTCTGTGTGACTGACACAAAGACCCAATGCTATTTGTCACTTAGCTGCTGAGGTAATGATAGCTAGCCTCATAGTGCATTACGTGGCAGAAGTGCCTGACTTCATCATAGTTTCAAAGTGTTATTCTTATGAATTAATCATTGGTATTAATCAGATCAAACAGTCATACACTCAGGAACACCTATAAAACTCTTTGTGATGATACAAATATGACAATAATCTGCTACTTATCAAACTCCGTTCATGGCATATTGCATCAAAGGCGTACTCTGTACGTATTTCCTATGACACAGTATCAACTGGTCATTCACGCATATCTGGTACTGTAAGCATTTCTCAGATGTAAGGATAGGGTGATGTTACACTCAAGTAGTATAAGCTTAATGATACCTCAGTTTCAACATCACTATGACTTATCCATAACCCTTACAACACAAGAGCAGCATGTACTTGATGCAGATGATTAAGGTTGATACTCTGTTAGAGAGAGGTGCACAAAATAAAGATGTCTAAATGACAACACTGCAGATTAATTCAAGTGCAGAGAAGATTACATGAAGCTAAGGTTTATTTCAGTAAATACTGGATTTTGTTATTAAAAATAAATTGTCATTAACTACATTAGAAGTCATTTATAAAGAAAATATACCTTAATGAAAAAAAAATCTCTACATTTTAGTGCCACCACCTTAAGAATTATGATGCAGCAAGGATACAGCTCAACATAAGCAAAATGATATCTGTACTATATTTGAGCAAAGTTATAATTTTTCTATACTGAAAATGTATTTCCTATAGGTACTAACCTCACATAAATAGCTATTCTCGTTGAGTGCTGCTCTACATATGCACAACAACTTTTTACGCATGCCACAAGCCTTCTACCTCCTCTCCATTGGAAATGACTCATTCCAATGTGTCTCCCATGCAAATCATCATGCAACAACCCTCCACCAACGAGAGTGCCACACCTACTCGTTACACATGTAACTCCCTCTGTTCAATTCTACCAGACTATCACTTTGAGTTTAGGCAGAAAATGGAAGCACCAGTTTTCAGTGGAAAGGACAGGTGAGAAGTTTGAGAGAAGGTAAGTACCTATCGGAAATACATTGTCAGTATAGGAAAATTATAATTTCCGATACGGTACGTTAACTCCCCTCACATAGATAGCTAGAATCCCACATTGAATAGGTGGAGGGATGGTGGGAACAAAGAAAAGAAACATCCTTCAAAAGTGTCCAAAGGACACACCTTGAGATGAGAGAGTCAGATCCAAAGATATGATGTGGGAGACCACGCCACATCTGAACCAGGTAAACACTTTGCCCATCAAAGAAAGGTGTGGTATATATGGGTGGAAAACAGAGGAGCACATCCAAGTGTGTGGAAAAAAAACTAGTGCACCCAGGTGTAGAGTGGCTAGGGTGCAACAGATCTCACTCTACAGGTCAACAACATCTAAAACCCACGTTGCTGGAAATTGACATCCACGCAGGGGTAGAATGAAGACCATAATGTCTTCATCTCAAGTTCAAGAGACCAGAGGGTATCTCAACCCCCCCCCCCCCCGATCCCACGACCAGGGCACATGTTAAGCATAGAAATAATATATTGATCCAGGAACCTGACATCCAGTAT